ATCCCCCACTGCCCAGATCGCCCCCCAGGCCCTCCACCCCACCTGTGTCCCACCTTTCGGCTTTCCCACCTGCATCTCCGGATCACACCCACAGTATGAGGGAAAATGAACAAGATAAGGGGAAGAAGGTGAAAGAACAAAGAAAACTTTAGATGTATCAAAGAAATGGGACTTGCTCCTCCAAGGGACTCTGCCTTTGGGCCTCCTTCTTCTCTGGGCAGAACTCTGCTCTGCGACCCTTTAAATAAAGCTTCTAACTTTCTACTCTACACTTCCTCGGCGTGTTTCTCTTGTGTCATACTTCAACATTCAGGGACCAGGACTCCTCAAGATAACCCCCAACGGGCGGTATCCACGTCGGCTCTCAGGGACAGTTGGGTGCTGAGAGAAGTCCAGAACCAGCTGGACGCAGGCAGGATGGAAAGTGGATGACCTGGGTTTCCCAGCGTCTTGCATGTGACTTCATGGTTTTTTAAAGAAATCTTTTATTCTTTCACAACTTTAGAGAAGACATATAATCTAGTTTCTTTCAGTGTCAGGAGGTCAGGCTGAACTTCAAGCTGTAAGAATGTGACACAGATATTCTACTAAATGTTTCCATTTCACGTGTTTCCTCCAGAACCCAGCCTCCTTCAGCTGGCGTGAAAGTCCACATTTAGAAGATGGGAAAATGGATACAATGTGTCACAGCGTCTCACTCTTCCCCAAGAACTCTGCTTCTGGGGTGCATTTCAGATCTTCCTGTTGTGATTACAAGTGGTAAAACTGGGCGGCCACCCTTCCACCCCTCCTTTTGTCCTCTTTCAGTTCCACGTTCCAGCTCGCAACCTGGGCTCCCAGTCACCTCCTCAGCGGGGGCCTTGTTTCTTCATGACTTCTCCGCGTGACATGGGGAGCTGCCCAGCTGGCCACGGTGACCCTCAGGTGGGTCCCACGCCACACAGTCAGATGGACGGCAGCTGGTACTCAACCAGTACACACGGAGGAGGGTCACTGTCGTGGAGAAGCCAGGTTTCTTGTCCTTAGGAAGACTGTGAGGGACAACGAGCCACAGCAGTAGAAACCACCTTGTGGGCCGGCTGAGAGCTTTCCTTCAGAGGCCCTTGGGCCTATGTCACCAAGATATTCTAAGTTCCAACACTCAATGGTGGGAAGTAAGCAAGGCATTAGATCTGTAGTTCTGGGTAATTCTTCGCCTTTGTGAACTTTCCTGAATTAACTTCAGGCATAATCTTCAATTTTGGAGAAAAACATTTAAAATCAACCCCAAGGTATAAGTCGTAGAACAGCCCAATGAAGTTACTTTCTTAAAAAATTTATTTTTTCAGTTACAGGTGGACACAATATTGTTTATTCTATGTGGTGCTGAGGATCGAACCCAGTGCCTCACACATGCTGGGCCAGTGGTCTATCTCTGAGCCACAACCCCAGCCCCATGAAGTCACTCTTCATGCTTCGAATGGGCAGAGGACCATGTTTCCTCTGCAACCAGGCTTCGGCTAATGACATGACCTTTACCACATTAATAGAGAGCAAACAAAAACTTGCCAACTGTGATAAAATGGAGGCTTGAAATATCAAATGAATTGAGCTGAGAAGATTCTAAAGGTCAAAAGCTCAGCAAGAAAGAAGTTAACACAGTGATTTGTGTTTGACACGGGTTGTACCAGGCTCCTTACAAGATTATTTTTTGAATTCTTAATGCTTAAAAACTATAGTAGTAAATGTGATTTAAAAGTCTATCACTACAATGATGTCAACTAAGGTTTACTTAGACTCACATGTTGCAGCCGAGAGCTCTGTATTGTACACCGACATGTGCCAGGATGTGGGGATACTCAGTAAACACTCTGGGCCCGCCCAACTTGGAGTTTCATAGGGGACACAGATAAACTCCCAATCACCCCATCCAGCAGGGCCACCAGCAAAAGGAGAGATGAGGAAGTGGAGTCCTCCAGCCCAGGGT